AAAACAAATTCCCCTATGAAACTAGCTAATATTTCAGCGGGGACTCCTCGTGGAGTTTACAATTTAAATAGTTATACAAAATTAATTTACTGAGTGGGCTCTTTGTACTATTTTTGTACTTTAATACTTACAGATTTGTACTATTTTATTTTTGTACTTTTTTAAAAAATCCTTTATTCTTATTTTTTTCTCTTTATTCTTATTTTTTTTCTTCTTTTTTTCTTATTTTTTTCTCTTTTTCTTTATTTTCTTTTTTTTCTTTTTTTTAGCCTTCTTTTAGTTTACAGAAATATCTGAACTTTCTCCTGAGATAATAATGCTCCAGCCGACCAATGGGTGTAGAGGTATCCGGAAATACCAGTACTCTGAAAACTATTTCGGATAAGGTAAATTATATTTTGTCTCGGTCTCTCTAAGTTTGATGGGTGTACTAAGATTGTGACTAAACCATGTAAAAAACATATATTGTGCTAAAAGAATATTTGCTCGTTATTTATGGTGCACCCAATCCTAAGTTGGTTAAGCTCGACCTCCGATACTGAGGTCTAAGCTGTCAGGACGAGCAGCTCCTCAATATCAATCCTCCCCTTTACTTCCGATGGTGCTAGATCAACTGACCAACTCTTGCTGGGTCGACCGTTCAACTTACAATCTGCCTGCCAACCTAGAGAAAAGACAGCAGAATCTCTATAGAAATGCACATCAAGTGTCTATATATCACTTTGCCAAGAAAATCACTTTACTTTTCACTGGAAATGTTTGTCTTTAAATTATTTACTGATAATTTAGACTTCCATTCTAAACTCCCACTCTACTGCCATTTTAAATGTTTTCAGTTTAGTTAGAAGGAGACTGAAACTCCATTTAGACTCACTACACAATGTTTATCACTTGAGAAAGTTTTCAGTATTTAATTTAAAGGAGAACTGAAAACTCCTTTCAGAGCTATATCTTTCAAAGCTATATTTAAAAGTAAAGCTGACACGGGTAACAGTCGCTTGATTCACTTCACCGGGAGAGATCGATTAAAACCGGTGCACACTGGCACCCTGGACTGCCATTCTCTCTGAAACCTCTTTTAGAAGTGAATCAAGCAATATAAGCTCGGTCGTTTTAGACATACAAACTTTTCTCATTGTAAATTTGGTCAACTAACATAATACAAAGAATGGTTTTGTTTTGTTTAATTTCACTTACTCTTAAAACCTTATAATTAGTATTGCTACAATGAACAACAATTTTCTCATTGTTAATTTGGTGAACTAACATAATACTAAGAATAGTTATGATTTTTATAATTTCACTTATTCTTAAAACCTGATATTGAGTAGTGCTACAATGAACAACAATTTTCTCATTGTAAATTTGGTCAACTAACATAATACAAAGAATAGTTTTGTTTTGTATAGTTTTACTTATTCTTAAAACC